TGTCAGCAGTGAATGAGGCTCTCAATGAGATCTATGTAGAGGAGGAAGATTATGACAGACTGCGTGAGTCGATCGACCTTCATGATAGTTTTGACCAGATTGGGCTTGCTCAAAAGGTAAGTTGTAATTTCCCGTGACGAAATTATGTGAACTTTATTGCAGGATATACTTTATATCTAACTTGTATTTTGTCTGAGCAGATTGAGAAACACGAGCTACTTGAGATGAGACGTGTTGCGGCCTACATCTACAAGAAGGCAGGGAGATGGAAGCAGTCGATTGCTCTGTCGAAGAAAGATAACCTGTACAAAGATGCAATGGAGACTGCTTCACAATCTGGTGACCGTGAACTTGCCGAGGAGTTGCTTGTTTACTTCATTGAACAGGTATTTTGCATATCTTGAAGCTCATTTTTGTCTATAATTCTGAATTTTGTTTTGTTTGTGCTGTAATCGGCACATGATGTATTTATTGCATGGTGATTATCATTTTAGGTGGTTTCATTTTGCATTATAGACTATTTCGATTCGTAGGAGTTCTCATCACCTTTGTAATAGGCTTTCTGCTCAGATTTCAATGATTAATAAATTTTGGAAACTGTAATGATGTGGCAAGAAGGGACTATTTATGTGTGTGCTTCACTTGTATTAAGGTACTGGTAAATAGGCAATTTCAGATGGTTTGAATTGGTGTTATAACCATTGTTTTATGCTTTATGCAGGGAAAGAAGGAGTGCTTTGCTTCTTGCCTTTTTGTTTGTTACGATCTGATCCGCGCAGATGTCGCTCTTGAACTTGCCTGGATGAACAACATGATTGACTTTGCCTTCCCATATCTTTTACAGGTGAGATTCCCTATTGAACCACGTTCTTAGTTTTGATTTCTTTGTGGTGCTCATATTTATTAAAAGCACTAGGACTTAATACGAATTAAGCTGTTTCCGTCGGGTGCTTAACATGTGTCATATTTTGGCTTGCTTTTCCAGTTTATCCGGGAATACACTGGCAAAGTTGATGAGCTTATCAAGGACAAGATTGAAGCTCTGAAGGAAGAGAAGGCGAAAGAGGAGGAAGAGAAAGATGTCATGAAGCAACAGGTATGTACTTATGGATGATCCAGTTGGGAATTATTGTATTGTTTGTAACCTTCTAGTAATAGGCTCTATTTGGCTGAGGTTATAATCACATACCTCATAAAAAAGACAAAGTAACAAAAATAAATATTTGAATCTCGACCGGAACACCTATTTAATTTGCTAGCTTATTGCTTACAATCTTTACATGCTCATTATCATATAATTTTGTAGGAACACTTTACCTACTTGTTGTCAAGACAAGCTTTACCTTCCCTGTGAACTCTTTCAAACATTTTAATATAGGAAAAGCTTATAAAATCCCTTAGGCTACGTTTGGAATGATGGATTCGAAATCCCTTGATTTCAAATCCTTTGAAATTTAAATTTGCTACTTTCAAACTCATTTAAAATCCTTCAAAATAATGGCAAAAGTCTATCTGAGGAGAGTTTGACTAAACTCATTTTTTGTGCAGAATATGTATGCGCAGCTATTGCCTCTTGCTTTACCCGCCCCGCCTGGCATGGGAGGCCCTGGCATGGGTGGAGGCTTTTCCGGGCCACCGCCACCCATGGGCATGGGGATGGGTATGCCACCTATGCCTCCGCCTTTCGGAATGCCACCAATGGGCCACTACTAATGCCTACTTATCCAGTGGACTCTCGGAAGGTAGTTAGTGCCTTAAGTGGAGAGAAGAAAACACAATCGTTTGTTCGGGCTTCACTTTTTTTTTTTTTCCCCCTTTTGTGTTAAATGTATTTTTTTTTTCTTGGTATTTGTGTTTTTAAAGTTCAGGCTTTTGAAGGTGGAGTGGATTTTCTTTCTTGATGTTACGAAATAATTTCGACCCGGTATTCTGCCCGTCATAGTGTGTGGGTACATAAGATATATATTTCTTTGTAACATTCTTTATTAGGCGAGGGTATATTTTTTGCAGCTTTAGGCGGCAAGATGAGGTGAACTTGTATTATTAAGAACATATAAAGGTCAGGTGGTGGCCAAACATGACTGTTCGACGTTTCTTTCGTGTACTTAATTTCTCACTTTTGATTTGCGCCTTGGTTTGAAAACTGTGATGCCTCAGATATATTTTTTTTTTCTTTTTTTCCCTTTATTTGAATTTCGGTTAATGATTGACCTGTCCCGCCATTTGTGTGACGCACGATAGTCTGTCCAGTCCCTAAACGTATTTTCTTCATTGTTATTTTTTTTTTCGCGATGATAGTTTCATTAACTCAACGAAAATACAGTTGAAGGCTAACTAGCCTTACTACATCACCTTACGGAGACTAGGGATATCCACACCAAGGCGGTCTAGGCCAAACATAACTACACAATCAATTCAAAACAGGGATGGTTTTGGTGCTTGGATATAACGATTTCAATCGTGATCAAAATTTAACGTAATTCAATTTATTTAATATTATCAATATAATTAAAGAATGTTAATCTTTTTTTGCACATCAGATAAACTTTAATTCACTATTATTTCACTCATATAATTATTTTATTTTAAATCATATATCTTCTCATTTTACATTAACTTTAATTATTTTATTTTGAATATTATTTTAATACAAATTCAAAATTTCACTCAAACCTAACTCAATCAAAATTTTCAAAACTAACTATGTTTTACAAAAAGAAAAAAAATAAAATATAAGATATAAAATAAAAGAAAAGAAAAGAAGAAAAAAATCAATCACAATTGAACTTGTTTATATATCCAAGCACACTCGCATATGTAGTTACACTACCAATCCATACAAAAACTAAGACTGAAGCTTACCACTGGGAACAACCCTTGGCGAATTGACGTCTGAATTTATATTATGATAACGGTGTAATCAATGTCTAGAGTCAAGATAGACTGTACAATTAGCACTAGAACCGATGGGTTGTTCAATTCCACTCAGTTAAGATAAACTGTACAATTAAAATTACAACCGTTCACCATGGGTTGTTCAATTCTATCTAGATTGTGCAGTAAATTTATTTTTTACAACTATCCAAATTAACCCTAATATGATTTTCTGCTAACCGCAATGAACCATATTATCCAAATGTACATATCAGAACGTACAACTGTTTATTAGACATGATTGTCATTCAAACGATATCAGTTATAAAAAAATGCCAACGCACCAAGCCCTACCCCACCCGGCGATCGCCAGCGACATTTTCTGAACATTGCATTTGAATAACAATTTAATCATTTTTTGCAAATTGAAACACGTCTCGGAATATATTTAACTAAATATATCATTTAAACTAGTTGATCTATTAATTATATATCCAATATATATTTAAATATGTATGTTTATTTATATTTAATAATATTTTGCAATATATTCAATTTCATTATCCACATGAATGATGTTTGATTAATTAGAGAATGGCTGAAGTTTGAGTAACAATTTTTCCTCACTGGCACTTCTCATAAACTAATAAATCCATGTGCTTTGAAAATATCGATTCTTCTCATAAACTAATAAATCCATCTGCTTTGAAAATATCGATTTTGCAATAAATATTCGCATTATAAAAAAGAAAAAGTACACAACAACAAATTTCCGTGTATTTTATTCTGTATATGTCATTAATAATTGAAGTTTTATTTTTTCAATTTTTTTTTTATTTTTTTTTTTCAATTTACTTGCCATTAAAAATCAAACAAAAAAGTGTTTGAAAAATTAAGAACTCTTCTCACAAATCACAAATAAAAAACCAAACTAAATAGCATTTGAAAAATTTTTAACTCTTATTTTGTTTGACGGGTTTGAAAAATTCTAAACTCTGTTTTTGTTTGGCAATTACATGTTTAAACAAATTGTGTTTAATTATGCATATTTATTTATATTGAATAATGTTTTAAAATTTAATGAGTTTAATTAATTAGAGATATGATGAGGTATATATATATATGTATATAAATTCTGATGGATGACTGTAATATATTAATTTCAATGGCTAATAAAGATACACTAGATTTATTTATGCATGCAATAATAACTAAATAGAATATTCTACGATATTATTCATTAGTAAAATCAGCGAAATAAAGAGAATTCAATTAAAATCATCATAAAATATTTTATTTTCTTATGTGTATAATATAATTTCTATCAGTAAATTATAAATTACTGTACACCCGTCTTATTAATATATAAAATATTTGTGTGGCTTTACGGATACAGTTTCAGTAACAATTTTTCCACACTCATAATTTACCTAAACTCATTCTAAGTCAAAAATCACATAAATGGGAATGGTTTTTTTTTTATATTAAACTCAAAAAAAAAATACAACCGTAATATCAACTGGTATCATCTTTAGCACATCTAACCTAACAGCTAGACTGCTAAACCCCGAGGGCAACCACACTTGAAGCCCCCTCAAAGACCATCAAGGTCACAAAGTCCTACTAAGTTACCAAACATGAAAAGAACAAGTTTCCACCAGACATAATACATCTTGAAATTCTGCAGCTAAAGAAAAATTACAAACACAGAAAAGAGTTTGAAACTGTCAATTTTGTAATAAATATTCAGATTAGCAAAATGGAAAAATTAAAAGACCCACAAAAAAGAGTTCGAATACTTTTGTACTCTTTTTTTATGGCGATTAGTCACAATGGATTGGGTGAGGTGGGATCCAAATTCACCCTGTTTAGTATATATTATTATATATTTCATTAATTGGAGTTTTATTTTTTTGAATATTTTATGAAAAAGAAAATTGTTATTCAATTTTATTCAACAGTATTTAGACAAACTAACTCTTTAATTAACAGCTTTAGACTATTTTCATTTAAATAAACTACATTTTGAGTTTGAACTCGGTTTATTAACCGGTTGGGCCAGTCTGACGGGCCGGGCTTAAATAAAAATGTACAAATACAATCCAACGTAATTCCATTCTAATTTTCCTACGCCCAATCAGCTGATTTCTCAGCTCACAGCTCAAATGGCTTCACTTCATATCTTCGCTCTGATGTTCGTAACCCTTGTATCGGCGGTCATCATGAGGATCGTCTCCGCCGTAGTCTACTACCGCAGAAACCGGGCTAAGTCTGTCGGTTTCTTTCATCCTTACACGAACGACGGCGGCGGCGGCGAGCGGGTACTGTGGTGCGCCGTAAGAGCCGTTCAGGAAGAGTTTCCAGATCTGGAATGCGTGATCTACACCGGCGATCATGACGCTTCCTCTAAATCTCTCGCCGATCGAGCGATCGATCGTTTTGGGGTCAAACTGATAAACCCTGTAAAGGTATATTTTGTTATGAAGGTTTTTATTTTTTTAAACGTGTGAGTTTGATCATATCCTGAATTTTTGCTGCGGTTGGAATCTGCATTGATTAGTTCTGAAATGTGCTTGCGTCTTCAATAATTGTTGTTGTTTTGCTTCTGCTTAGACAAAAAGGATCATGAAATCCTGTTGGTTGTTGGCAATTAGCATTGCTTCACCATTTAGTTTTGAGAAGCTACACATCAGGAAGTGTTCTTAATGAATCAATGAATTGGATGTAATTGTGAAGGAAAAGAATTGATCAAGTGTTTAAGCTTATTTGTAGAGTTTCAGGAGAATAATTATTGGATGGGAGCCAAGTTTTTTGAGCTAAGGGGGAACAGAAGAACATTTCATTTTAATTATTTTTTAAGATAAGGTGTGTTTTGTCTTAACACTATTGGATGCTCAACTATTGTGGGAACACTGGAAATTTCCAGCACTTTGAGGAATCTCTGTCACTCTTTTCATTTTGATATAACTATACGCAAGAGTATGTGAGTCGGTCTTGTTTGCAGAATTGCTCGTGGCTGTCCTATTCTTATATGGTTGTTTTTTTGCTTTTTTCTTTTAGTGGTTTTTACTCTCTGCGTATAGAGCTTTGAGAGTTTCAATTTAAGAGTTTAACAATGACTTGCCTTCCAATCTTTTACGCTTATTCTTCTTCCTTTGGCAGGTGGTTCATCTGTATAAGAGGAAATGGATTGAAGAAGCTACCTATCCACGATTCACCATGATCGGTCAGAGCCTTGGTTCAGCGTACCTTTCTTGGGAAGCTTTGTGCTCATACACTCCCCTCTATTATTTTGACACCTGTGGATATGCATTTACATACCCTATTGCTAGAATGTTTGGATGTAAAGTTATTTGCTACACTCATTACCCGACTATTAGTTTGGACATGCTATCACGGGTCCATGCACGGAGTTCTATGTATAACAATGATGCTTTGATTGCTAGGAGGTATGTATCACAGCTTCTCATGCGTGTAGCTCTTACATCAAGTTTATAGCACTTTAAAAGAAGTAGGAAGTTTGGGATGTTATCCATTGCTGATATTGAGCAAGCTTTATCAGCATGTAGAAATAGTGGTGGCATAATATGACAAGACAGTGTACTATTAAACGTATGTATGCCCCCTGTAATGTGTCACGGTATAAAGTTAACTGGTGGCTTCTCAATCTGAAAGGCTGTAGAAAGTACATACGGTATTGTTCATCCCGTCCATTTAGGTCTTCCCCAGACATTGTAATAACGTTGATAGTTCAATGATAGATTCTTGCTACTGATTTATATTTGTGATGAACTCATGAACCTATAAGTTCTTCTCTAGTTTCTGTCTTTTCATGAAAGCTAATATAAGTTTCTTCCTGCAGTGCCTTCTTCTCCCAGTGCAAAATTATTTATTATAAGGTGTTCAGCTGGATGTATGGAATTGTAGGCTCTTGTGCACATCTTGCTATGGTTAATTCTTCGTGGACTCAGTCCCATATTCAAAAACTCTGGGGAATTCAAGATCGAATTAAGAGAGTGTACCCTCCCTGTGACACCTCTGGTCTTCAGGTTTGCTTGTTTATATCATATATTTACATCTTATTTATATATACAAAATATGCTTTCTCTTTTATATCATCTGAAATGGAACTAAACTGCTGTTATTTTTTTTCATTCATCAAAATTGAGCTTGAGCTCAGAATGTTCATTCGTGAATAAGAAAGGATAAACACTGAGTGTAATAATAATTTGACAGAGCCCGCCATGCCTTTTCTTTTTCTTTTTGGTTTCCCTGCACCATTGTTGTGAATGGAGGATCATATAAATAGTAGAACTTATTAGATATCCATGAGAAGTTCCTTTAGTTATTTTTATTCTTCATGTTCTTTGCCTTCCCAAGTTTTGGTGTGAATTCTTATAGATGCTACTGTGAATTCTGATTGTGTCCTCCAAACAGGCCTTACCACTGGAAAGGTCAACAACACCTGTAAAGATTATTTCCGTGGCTCAATTTCGTCCAGAGAAGGTGCGCATTGTATGAATCAAAGGTATTCATACTCGTGGGATAATAAAAGCCTCTTAATCTGTAGGATATTTGTGAACTCACAACTTACTATTGGTAAATTCGCAGGCGCATCAGCTTCAACTCGAGGCATTTGCTGTTGCCGTCAAGAATTTGGAAGCACAAGTACCAAGACCTAAGCTCCAATTTGTTGGCAGTTGCAGGAATGAAGCAGATGAGAAGAGATTACAGCATTTGAAGGATCGAACCAATGAGCTGAAGCTGGAAAGTGATGTGGAGTTTCACAAAAATGTAACCTACAGGTGTTCTATTATTTATTTTTTTAAGAAAAGAAAAAAATGCTTTATGCAGCTACCGCTGAAAATACTATATTGGATCCCTAACATGATTCTACTGCTTTTCATAAACAGGCGAATTTTCGTAATCTTTTTTATGGTGTCAAAGCTGTGTTGTGTTATCTCTTTGATTTGTGTACTTCATTTTCTGTAACTTTTGACATTTTTTTTATGGAGATTGTTTACTTCCATTACATGAATTTTACTGGCTTGATACTTTTTTTATTTATTTACTTAATTAATAATTCCGATCTCTTATTTCACAGTGAGCTGGTGAGTCTTTTGGGTGGTGCAGCTGCAGGGATTCATTCTATGATAGACGAGCACTTTGGCATCTGTGTGGTAGAATACATGGCATCTGGTGCCATACCAATTGGTTTGTTTCCACTTTCTTTTTGTTCTCTTAATTTTTTTTTTTTTTTTTTTG